GGGTGTATGTGTGTGTGATAGAAGAGGAAAAAATGAGAGCTTCCTGGTTTCTTGGGGAATTACTCAACAACAGCTTAAGGGAACGCCAACAATATAACAGCTCACATCTCAAGGAGTGCTACATCTAGAATCTATCTTTTAGGATCTTGGCAGAGAAAGGGGGGCAGGAAAGGGGCCTGATTTTGCCCCCCTTACTGCCTTTTCCCCAGAAGTTTCTGCCACAAGATCAGGATTTCAAGCCCTAGAGCAGACTCTAAGTTAAAAGCAGGCCAATTGAACAGAGCATCCCAGTTAGGGTCAGTCAGTGCACACAGATCCCTTGCTTCACGGAAAATGCCCAACAGGTCAAGGCCACTGACAAACAGAATTACAATGTGAGAGGAACATATACAAACACCTGCATTCAGTACTTCTCACTTGGGTACAACAGAAAAACTAACACTCAAGCACAAAATGGTGGTCTTTTTTTTTTTTTTTTTTTAAGATTTCAGTTATTTATTTGACAGAGAAAGAGATAGCGAGAGAGGGAATACAAGCAGGGGGAGTGGGAGAGGGAGAAGCAGGCTTCCCACTGAGCAGGGAGCCCGTTGTGGGGCTCGATCCCAGGACCCTGGGATCATGAGCCGAAGGCAGACACTTAATGACTGAGCCACCCAGGTGCCCCACAAAATGGTGGTCTTGTTTTCTGGATGTTGGGTCCTGAATGTTAGATGGTCTGTGACCTCTTAGCTTTTAAGTATGTTTCCTCTGACTTTAAGCAGCAGATTCCTCTCAGCAAGAGAGCACTGTGTACTTTCCAAGGTTGGAAATGGTAGGTTTTCAGAGCAGAGTGAAAATATTGTGTTGACAGCCCTTTGCCTGCTTAAGGCAGTGGGGTTGTTTATTTGGGCTGGAGCATAGCTTTGTTGAGGCAGAGAGTCATGGTCCCATCATCAGGGCTGCCTAGCAACAGGTCCATGCCATGTCACAAAATTTCAAATTGGGCTGGGCCACAAGTATCCATTTGGGGGGATTTCCACATGACAGTCCTGCCCTCACTGTGTCATATTGCTCCTAAAATCTGAGTCACATTGCAAGATCCAAGAGTAATTATTCAGTGTCCCCCCCCATTCTCTTCTTGGAAGAGTTAAAAAGAATATTTGTTCTTTGAGTACATTTCTTTATATACTACAGAGATTTGGTCACTTTGGATTACTGAAAATATTTAACTTTAGTTAATAAACAAGTCAGTTTAATATTTAGCAAAGTAGCTGCATGTGTACTGTGATCATACTAGCAACAAAAACAATGCATTTTAAAGACATAGTTTGTCATTAGAAATATTATTACCAGGGAAAGAAATCCTATGTGGGCATAAAGATTTATCCTATATCAGATTGCGGGGATTGCACATGGTTTAAAGAGAGACTAATTTATAATTCATTCATTTATTGAACAAGCATTTCTGGAATGACTGCTAGACTAGACTAAGTAGCTAGGAAAGTTAAAACATTTGTCACCTGCCTTCCTAGAGCTCACAGTATGGCAAGAAGGAGATAATAAGGTAACCTCAAGTGCTGAGGGGAATATAATGAGTGTTTGAGAATTATAATGTGTAGAGGGAGAAGTTAAAGCAAGGGAGGAAGGTTTGGAGATTAGAATGTGCTTGAGGAGGCAGGGGGTTGGTTCTCCATGCTGGAGAGTAAATGGGATATATGCAGCTTACCTCCCAGATTGTCCTGAAAATAGAGCCAACGGCAACATACCCCTTTCCCCTACTGATAGAACCTGGGCATAGGATGGTATTTTTGTTGTGTAAAATTGTGAACCTGTGTATCTTTGTGGTAAACTACTGTTGACATTGGCCCTGCTTTGCATTATTTATGATTTTAAAAAGCAATATTGATTTTATTACAAAGGGACTATTTTTCCTCATAGGGTTTGTTGATTAATGTCTGTTGCAGTTAAAGTCTCAATGTAGCCGCTATGGACTTGGGTCACTTAATCCTTCTATCAGACGTTTTTATTAGCTACTGTGCATTATGTATTCAGGAACTCAACATTAAGTGGATTTATGTTCAAATCAGGTTGAAGGCTTGGGTTTTGGAATTAGTGTTTTTTCTTTATTTCACTCTTTAGACACTTTTTGTGGATAAATTCAAAGTTAGGAGGTTAATATCAATTTGTGCCAGTTCCAGTTTTTAACCAGAATATATACAAGGTAGACTATTGATCTTAAGTTATTGCCTCTATTGCCTCTTAGGGGCATAAAACTAAATCTCTCCATCTTTTTATAGTAACTTTGACAAAACAATGTACAAGAGATGTTGGATGTATACTTTTTTTTGGCAAAGATAATGGCATATTCATTGCTGCTAATTACAGAACTATGGCTAACGTTAACTAGTTAAGTCAAATACCAGCCACATTTGCTGAGTGGTGCTAACATTTTGGACGAAGCTCAATTTGGGTTTATCTGGAAAGTTCGAAATATTTAGTTCAAGAATCATTTCAGGGCGCCTGGGTGGCTCAGTTGGTTAAGCGACTGCCTTCGGCTCAGGTCATGATCCTGGAGTCCCGGGATCGAGTCCCGCATCGGGCTCCCTGCTCGGCGGGAAGCCTGCTCCTCCCTCTGACCCTCTCCCCTCTCATGTGCTCTCTGTCTCTCATTCTCTCTGTCTCAAATAAATAAATAAAAAATTAAAAAAAAAAAAAAAGAATCATTTCAGATCGTAGGTACTCATTTCCTGTTAAGATTAGTTAGCTAAGGGGTGCCTGGGTGGCATGGTCGGTTAAACATCTGCCTTCTGCTCAGGTCATGATCCCGGAGTTCCAGGACTGAGCCCTGTATCGGGCTCCCTGCTCAGCAGGGAGTCTGCTTCTCCCTCCGCCCCTCACCCCACTCATGTGCTCTCTCTCTCTCAAATAAATAAAGAAAAAGAAAGAAATCTTTAAAAAAAAAAAAGATTAGCTAACTAATATCCAGCTAGGATGGGTCAGGTAGCAGGACAGAAGAAAAAACAGGTAAAATAGATATTAATGTTAAAAATGACACAGTTGGATCATTGATAAACTTTTTTTTAATTTAAATTCAATTAGTTAACATATAATGTATTACTGATTTCAGAGGTAGAGGTCAGTGATTCATCAGTCTTATATAATACCCAGTGCTCATTACAGCACATGTCTTCCTTACACTGATAAACTTTTTAAAGTAAATTACGATAAATAGGAATCTTGAGATTGGCAAGGATAATGAAGGAGTTAGACCAGATAATATTGAGATAGGTGTAGAGATAGATGTGATTTAATATTTCAAGTAGAGAAAAATAAACATAGATGTTTCTTACCTATTTGATTTAGCTCTTGTTCTTATCTTTGTGTAAGGTTCAAATTTCATAGGACAAAATATGTTCTTGAGATCTGGGGTTTTCTCCAAAATGGATTTGTTTTTGAATGCAATGCCAAGAACATCAACAAATAAAGTTTAATTGTTCATTGCTCTTTTTTTCCCCCTTTAGCTTAGCCTTTAAAATACTTCTCAATTGTGAAACCAGTTATTATCCATAAATGGCATATATCATGTTTTCCTTCACAATTTGACATACCCAAGACACTATTTTTCTTCCAAAGATATTTCACCTTATTCTCTTCAATGTATATATGTGCTAAGGGTTAGTAAATTGTTTTCATTAATATTCTGGAAAGGGAAATAGTTTCAGGATGTTCTGAAAGTTGGATTTCTTTGGAGTTGGCAGACCTGAGTTCACATTATGTCTTACTTCATACTTCTGATTCCGTACTTCCTAGTAATGTAACATTGGGCAAGTCACTCAACCTCTTAAAGCCTTTGTCACTAATTTGTAAAATGAGAACAGTGATGACATCTACCATATAAAACTGTTTTTAAGGATTAGATTCAAGTTGAGTGTTTATTATAGTTCCAAACACTACAGGAAACGTTAGCTCTAACTGCAGTTATCATTCCAAGTATTCGTCATGGGCTGAATTGTGTCCGCCCACCCCCAGATTCATATGTTGAAGTCCTAGACCCCAGTACCTGAGAATGTTAGTGTATTTCTAGATAGGGTCTTCCAAGAGGTAAGGAAGGCAAAAGGAGGCCACATGGGTGGGCCCTAGTCCAGTATGACTGGAATCCTTACAAGAAGAGATTAGGTTAGGGGTGCCTGGGTGGCTCAGTCGGTTGAGCGTCTGCCTTCGGCCCAGGTCATGATCCCAGAGTCCTGGGATCGAGCCCCGCATCAGGCTCCCTGCTCAGCGGGAAGCCCGCTTCTCCCTCTCCCACTCCCCCTTGCTTGTGTTCCCTCTCTCGCTGTGTCTCTCTCTGTCAAATAAATAAATAAAATCATTTAAAAAAAAAAGAAGAGATTAGGTTATAAACACACAGAGGAGAGGCCACATGAAGATGTAGGGAGGATGTGGCCATTTGCAAGACAAGAAAAGAAACTTTCAGTAGAAACCAACCCTGCTGACACCTTGATCTTAGACTTTTAGCCTTAAGAATTGTGAAAATTTAATTTCTTTTTTTTTAAGATTTTATTTATTTATTTGAGAGAGAGCGAGAGAGAGAGCACAGAGGGAGAGGGAGAAGCAGATTCTCCACTGAGCAGGGAGCCCGATGTGGGACTCGATCCCAGGACCCTGGGATCATGACCTGAGCCAAAGGCAGACACTTCACTAACTGAGCCACCCAGGCGCCCTGTGAAAATTTAATTTCTGTTGTTTAAACCACTTAACCTGTGGTACTTGCTACAGAGGTCATAGCAAACTAATACAGGACTACTGACAAAAAGAATATATTCCTAAATTACAAGTGTAGATAAGGAACCTTTCTGAAAGCTATTAGGTTTGGTCTGTTTCTATCATTTCCTTGCATGGAAAATCATCCACTGCGTGCTCTAGTCTCTGGCCCTATGTTGCCATCTGTGGGATTTGGCTAGCCCGAGTTAGGCCTCAGATGGAATACAGACACAAAGATCATGGCACTGTTGTAACCAAGATGCCCCAGAACATAATGTCAACAGCTTAATGATTTGGCATCTGTTATGTCAATACTGGTTAGAGCAATAGGTCTGGGGGTGACGGAGGCAGAGGTGAATCAGAGTGAGTTTCATATTTAAACATCACTCCATGAGAATGGTTTATATTTTTCTCCAAACAGAGCGAGAAAGATGTTGTTTGCTCATTTAGTGTTATTATGGGAACAAATCATTAAACACTATAGATTTTGTTTTCCTTAAACCAGATGGAATCATGGTTTCATGGAAACTGGGGATAATAATGCCCACATGGACGGCTGATTGCTCTTGGCAAGACAACTCCTCTGAACTCCAGGTGACTCTTTTTTTGTTGTTCATAGCAATTTGGACTTCCTTTCCTTCCTTCTTCCAAGCCCGTCCTTGCTGACTGCTCATCTGTCCTTCACTCTGCTTGTTTTCCTCTGGCAGACCAGCGTAGGCCAGATGTGGGCACGTGGACACCACTGACAACAAGAGAAGCCTCTTGCCCTCCTTTCAAACCAAGGCTCAGCTCCTCCAGAGACAGGAAGCGAGGACTTCCCCAGCCCCACGACCCTCAGGAATGTCCGCAGCCATACTGAAGCCCTGAATGCTCCCTCACGGATGAAAAGCAGCTTGTCTTTTGTCATTGGAAGGCAAAGAAGAAAAACAACAACAACTAAGTCATTAAAACAAATACCAGGGAACGTACAGGAGGTTGGCACTCCGTACGCGAGCTGGAGGTATGTGCTTGTAAATCACAGGCGGTAGGGAACAGCACGTAGTCCGGGTCTCTGCAGGCCTTTCTGGAGGGTCATGCAGGTGCACGGTGCTTGGCAGAGTGAGTGGCCCCTTCAAGTTTGCGCCGAAGGGGCCTTGCTTATCGCACCCTGGTCCTGCGGCTACTACTCAGCACTGGCGGCATCTGGCCAGCAGCAGCGGGCAAAGGACAACCGTGGTTTGCAGAGTCCCCAGCGTCACAGAGCAGAGGGGCATTTAGAGCGAAGAAACAGGAGCTTAGGAGCTGTGACGGTCACTGAGCTGAAACCTCGTGACCGCCCTGAGAGGCAGAGCAGATCTGTCCCCTCCAATTCCTTAGGTCAGTGACCCGCTGAGGTCTTGGGAGTAGAACTGGGACGGGGCTCTAAGGCTTAGTAGTGGGATGCCCCGTCTGCCCTCAGGTCATGCCTGGGAGGCCAGCTGCCCTGCCTGGCTGGATCCAGGCTGGATCCTCACTTGATCCAAGCCTGGCCTGATCCCCACCTGGTCAAGAGCACTGTGGAGATGTGTCACACTCTCACCACCACCTCCCCCCACCCCCGCCCGCCCCGCCGGCCTCAGTCAGCCCCTGGCCACGTTGTTTCTTTTACTGAGAACGTTCATTATTGTGGGATATCGGAGGGCTGCCTGGAACGTTCCCTGCCCTGTGTTTTCCAGAGAACAGATTATCAGGAAGCCCTTGATCTCTGCCAACAAGAGAGATCTCTGGATCTCTCTGGCCCTTGATCTCTGCCAACAAGAGAGATCTCTGGATCTCTCTGGCACAGTGACTGTTTTGATCTGTTTCCTGCTATATGGTGCATCGAGAAAAGGAGGCGCAAAGAGTGCAGGTTGGAGGTACAAGCCGCAAGTCCAGACTTTTCCCAGCTGGGAAGGGCCAAGTCTGGAAATTGTGCGCAGCGCTCTAGCAGCTATGCCTTTGCCTTGCTCTGTAGAAAGAGCACGGCCTGGGGCGCCTGGGTGGCTCAGTCGTTACGCGTCTGCCTTTGGCTCAGGTCGTGATCCCAGGGTCCTGGGATCGAGCCCCGCGTTGGGCTCCCTGCTCAGCGGGAAGCCTGCTTCTCCCTCTCCCACTCCGCCTGCTTGTGTTCCCTCTCTCGCTGTCTCTCTCTCTCTCTGTCAAATAAATAAAGTCTTAAAAAAAAAAAAAAAAGAAAGAGCACGGCCTGATGGAAGCTGCAGTCAAACTGTAACAATTGACCTCGGGCCCGGGAGGTGATGATACATTGAGTTTACACTCTGTGCCCAAACCTATTCCATCTTGGCCTGCTTGCAGCTTATACAATAAGGCATTTCTGAGCACAGGGGGTTGGCCCAGGCAACAGTGCTGCGGAAAGAAAACCAAGTGTTTTGTGCTGCCTCCCAATCAGTGTGCCCGCAGTCTTGAGCAACTGTGACAGAGGCCAAGTGCAGATGGCAGGCAATCCGTGGCGCTTGGAATTCCCCCTGAGGTTCCCATGGAGATTCCCCTGAGAGGGCTGCTTCCACAAGCCCCAGGCTTGGACGGAGCAGGAGGGGCTTGTGTTAACGAGGAAGGAGGTCCCAGAGCGTCCGGGTTGGGACTGGGGTGGGTGACCCCGGTGGCTGCCTTTTGGGGGATGGGCCTCGGTAAGAAAAGCAACTACTTAAAAAGTCCGCTGAGAGGAGCATTTCAGGTACTCTCTCCAGACATGAGGTAAACCCTCTTGGAAGGGTGACTCCCCAGGACCATTCCCAGCTGCTCTGGTCACTCTCCTGGGACACGGTTGTCTGGGCCAGGGGTGGCAGAGAAGTCTGAAGATAGAAGTCCAAAGATAGACAGCTTGCGGGTCCTCCCTCAGGCCCTGAGGTAGCCTAGCTGTTAGTAGCTATTTGCTGCCTCGGCCACATACCCCACAGACCCCACAGTCATGTCACCCTGACCTACCCAGGTCTGGAGTGGGAATGAAGGCTGAGTGGGCTTCTCAGTGGGCCTCACTGCTGTGTGAATCGAAATGCTTGGACAAGAGACAGTATTGTCAGTCTGCTTGCTCAGACACCCTTTGTGCCTGTTTGTTCATTCCTTCATTTTTCTAAGTAGAGCTCTCGAGACCGGCTATGTGTCAGGTTGGACGCTAGGCCCTTGGGGTGCACAGGTGAGCAGGCCAAAGTCACTGCTGAGCCCACAGTAGGGAGAATAAGCAAGTCTGAGTGATTACAGGGCAGTACATGCATTTCCACAGGAGCCTGGTCCCCATGCCGAAGGATCCACTAGAGAGGAAGAGCTCCTAATTCAGTCATGCAAGATCAGGGAAGGCTTCCCGGAAGAAGTGACAGCTAAGCTGAGACCTTGGGCCTAGTTCAAACCCAAATCCCCACTTTGGTCTGTCTCTGAAGCTTACCTCTTGCCCTTCAGTCCGGCTTGTCTCTCCACATGTGCTACTCAGCCTCTTCCCTTTACTGGTCTTGTCCTGACCCCCATCCACACCTGCACCCCCGCATCAAGCCTCCTTTATCTCTAAATCTTTATTGGGTGTTTACTCTGTGCCAGGCACTGAGCTAGCAACTTGACGAAGATTACCTCACAGTCACTCGGTGAGAGAATGGAGTCAGTCTGCGTGGGTTCAAATCCCAGTTCAGCTTCCGCAAGCCACGAGACCTTGGGGAAGATGGTCCACCTCTCTGTGCCTCTGTTTCCGTAACTGTACAGCAAGCCTCATGAAAGTACACACTCCAGAGCGCCAGTGTCAGGAATAAGTATATTCATGTACGCAAAGTGCTCGGAGTGCCATCGGGGATACCTGAAGAGCTGCGTAAGTACTTGCTGATGTCGGGGTACCCTCCGTTTTAGAGATGAGGAAGTCAAGGTTCAGAGAAGTTTGTCCCAAGGTCACACAGATGGAAATGGTCAGGGGCAGGATCTGGAGGCGGGCTTTCCAACTGCATGTCCGGAGTGCCCTTCTCCACGACACACAGCTATGTCTGCTCTCTGGCTGCCTCTGACACCACCTCCGGTTCCGAGTCCCATCTATCTGTTCCCGAGCCCACGGCCGTGACCTCCGCCCTGCTAGACGGCCTGCCCCCTGACCCACTGGCGCAGCCGAGCCTGTTCCGGCCCCGCCCGGCCCACACCTGCACACTGGCACGCACAAGGGTTTGGGCCCCGAGACCCCTGTCTGCCCGAGCCCATCTGCTCAGACTGGCTGTGCTTGTGCAGAGGGGGCAATGGGCCGCCCGGAAAAGGCCGTGTGGAGGGGAGGAGGCAGCAGGACGACAGCCGAGGATCCTGGAGTGCTGGAACAGGGGGAGATGGAGGAGGGTCACAGTGGAGGGGCAGTGGGGCCAGAGGAGCATAAAGCGGGCGTAGCGAGGCTGGTGGGGAAAGAAGGGTCGCAAGTAAAGGAAAAATGTTGCTTTGAATGTGACAGCTTATAGGCTCAACACTGACTAAGGCACTGAGCACCAATTTCAAGTGGAAATTCCTACAATTGTTCTAAAAGGTCTCAGAGCAACTCACTAGGTCTCTGTGAGCCCACCCTTCAGTTCTTTTGGCCGTTTGGTAGGAAAAGTGGCCTCGTGAAGGTGGGATTGACCGGAGTGGGTGAGAAATTGGGTGAGAAATTGGGGCCTGCGATCTCCAAGTTCGTGCCCTTTCTGTGACCTCGGGAGAGATGACTGTCTTTCCAGAGCCTGTTTCCTCATCTGGAAACTAAGGGAAATTTTGCAGTTTTCCTCTGAGGGGTATTTTGAAGAGTAGTCATAGACCGTTTTCCAAGTACCAAGCGTCAGATGTACAGAAAGAACGCTGGCGTTTCAGCAAATCTACAACTCAAGTTTTCAAATCCACTGTTCTTTCCATCCAGGGGCATTTTCCTAAAGAGGGGCCAGGTTAGTCCCAGTGGATTCAATACTGTATTCGTCTACTCCTGAAGAACAAAAAGCAGAGTTATTTATTTATTCAAGTTTCGTTGGAGACATTTCGACCCATTATCCTCTAGCTGGACCATTGAACCTGCACTTGGAAATGAGAACCAGCTGACTAAATAAACAGTTGCATATGGCAAAGAAGCAGGAAACCCCTCCCCAAAGCTAATAATATTAACAAACTTCCACGGGACACACAATCCATAATTAATGACAATTTGGGGGGGGAAAAAAAAGACATAAAAACTCGGAATTTGAAATCTGAGTCTGAGAACAGGATGGTGAGGGTTTTTTTTTTTTTTGCTCAGAATCTGTCCACCCTTTTTTCTGGCCCCCTTTCCTTCTGACAGCCACATTTATTCAAATTCTTTCTGTAAATGTCTTTAGTCTGAGGATTTAGATCTTGGAATTCAAAGAGCAGCCTGTCAGTAGGAGCTTATTAAAAACCTCACTATGTCATGTGACCTGATGTGACTGATTCTAGCTAAACTCACAGGAAGGTTGGTCTTGCTTTCAGAAACCGGTTCCCTGGCAAGGCTGCCTTTGGAGTCAGATTCAGTGACACTGAACCACATGTGAGGGCAGACTCCAGTCTAAGCACCCAGGCCAAGATTCAGCAGGCCGCAGGTGCCTAGGGAATGGGCTTGACTTCCTGGACCCGCTCCTTAGGAGAAGCACCCCATCTAAGGCCCTAGGAGAAGCACCCCATCTAAGGCCCTAGAGCATTCCCGTTCCAGTGCAGCCCATACAATGCCAACATTCAGGAGCCATTCACCAGCATGTTCCAGGAGATCATATCACTCTCCACACTTTCTCTCGAGTGTGTTTGGGACAGAAATGGCTAGTGACCTCTGAAGAGTCATGGTCTTCTTCCAGAGTGAATAGTGGCTGTTGAAATGCAGCTAACCAGCCAGGGTCTACATTCCTGAGACCCTCAACCCTCCCCAGGTGATTCATTCTGACCAGTGAAATATGAGCCTGAGTGATGTGACATTTTCTGGCTGAGGTGGTTAAGTACCCAGCGTGTCTTCCCTCACTTTCTTCCCACCTAGGAGCTCTAAGGGGCAGGAGCCCGGGGCCCAGAGTCACTGCGTGGAGGAAAAGCCCAGAGCTGCATGAGCAGGAGACTGTCTGGTTAGAGTTTATGGGAGCAGGAAATAAACTTTTGTGTTCAGCTGTTAGGATACAGAGCTGGTTATTGCCCCATTAGCCTATACTGACTAAGATCATGCTGTGTAACATTTCCTAAACAGCAATGAGCCTTAGGGTACGGGGGATTCCCCCAGCTCCTAACTTTCTCTGTGCAGAAAACACCAGTCCTGCCCACATGCCTGTGGCCTCATTGGAGTCCCTGTGAGTCTCTCTCTCTCTCCACGCTCCCCAGTGGAGCCTCTCTGTGAGGAAACAGTAAAGCACGCATAGAAGTGAAAAGCATGGTCTCTGAATCAGACTGCTCAGGTTCAATTCCAAATGCCACCACTTACTAACAGGCGAGGCCTTCAGCAAGTAGCTTAACCTCTCTGACTTCAAATCCTCTCTCTTCACCAGGGGGATATTACTTCACAGAGTCGTCAGGTCACAGAAACTGAACTTGGCCAGTCGTCACAGCAAATATTAGCACTACTGTTACTATTCACTGAGCCTTCTTCAGAATCCCAGATGTGCAGACTGAAGCAGCAATCGATACCATCGATACTCTGGTCTCTCCTCCTGTTACCTCTTCACGCCGATAATTCCCACCAAGAAGTCACACTTTTCTTTCATGGGTATTTGTATTTCTTCTACCTCTGTCCCCAAGATGTCACCCCTCCTTCTAGTCTTTACCTGAGGTGCTACAACAAATTTAGGGACTTAGAAGCATCTTGCAAAATGAGAAGTAGGTGGATCCAAAGAAGTGGGCCCAAATGCGTGTTGAATGCATGTTTATCTGCTTCAGTAGACAGTGGATCCTGTTCAAGAACTACCATCCTCGTGTGTAAGCATCGCCCTCCATGGCCTCTCCCCAGGGTTTTGTGTTGCCAGAAGCTCTTAGGAGCTGTTGTAGTGCAGAGAGCAAAAAGGGGAAAAGGATAGGAAGTACCCCGACTGGTACTAGAGAGGGTTTTCTCCAACATTTCAGCAGAAAGAGAAGCTAGAGCATGTTTGGGGTAAGAAGGAAACAGATGGAAGAGAAGAGGAGGACTGTGAGCAGTGTGGCCCAGACATGTCTCTCCTTCACGATGGTCAAGAAGCACAAATAAAGGACAGAAGTTAAATAGAGTTGCTTTGTGGGGGCTGGACTGTCTTTCGTGTAGCACGGCCTTACTCTGTGACCGGACTGCAGGGGCCCCAGAGTCAGTAGAGTCATAAGACATTTTTGCAGAGTTTGACATTAGTCTTCCAGTCAAATCAAGGAGCTTATTTGAAAATTCAAGTCAACGCTTGCCGTGTTTGTTCAGCTGAGGGACAGGATCAAGGACTACATCTGGGGCAACAGGTGTAGAAAAGCCACGAGAAAGGCCGGCAGATTCCCAAGATGAGGCAGCACCCGTGCTTGGTTCTTGGCTCTGTAAATGCTGAACAAACCAAGAGGAGTGCAGCCAGCATGGAGGCAGACTTCCCTAAGCCCAGACTCTCAGCACGGTCTCCTCCTCTTGCGATGAATCAACCATCGCGGCCATCTGAACGCCTTGGAGCCTGGACTGTTGGTCTCATGTTAGGTTCTGGCTGGAATTCAGATTCACTCACAGCCTCCAGGCCTCTGAGCTCTGACTGAACCTTTCCTCACAGCCTGTTCATGTCTCCTCCACGGTCATCCCGCCTCCACCAGCCTTTTCCCAGGTCGCAGAGCCTGGCCCAGGAAAGCTTTAAAGATCATGTAGTACCACTCCCTCATTTTAGACAGGAGGAAGCTTGAAATCCCATAGATTTCCCCTCCTCTAGCACACGCTTTGCTAAGCTCAGATGGTCACAGAAACTGAACTTGGCCAGTGGGACAGAGGGCTGGCATTTCCCTGGAGGTGTGGAGTGAAAGAGAGGCATCCTTTGCATCCTTCGCATCCTTCCCGTGATGGGAAGACCTGGAAAGTGAAGTTCCTGAAGAACCTCCACTGGGCTCCCTTCCTCCCCCAGCCCTGGGAGTGGAGGGCAACAGGCATTCAGGCAGGTGGAGACGCCCCGGGGCTGCCCGCTCTGCTCACTGCCGCATTACCTCCCTGTGGCTTCCAGGGGGAACGCTGTGTTTCTCAGCAATCCCCAGCACGAGGGCTCAAAGGTGAGCGACATTGCACAAGAGGTGACTCAACCCTTTGGCTCAAGTCTCTGTCCTCTATTAAATGCAAATATCCTTGAACAAGAGGTGCCATCATGGGAGAGTAGAGAACCGAGTTCTAGTACCAGATCCCCTGCCAGTACCCAAGAGACTACGGGCAGCATCCTCACACCCGGTCACAGGACACCCTCTCTGAGGGAACGTCAAGGGCTGCCAGGAGTCCAAGGGGAACAGATAAGAATGAATGACCCTCACACTTGACTGTGGTCTCTTCCAGAGGGTAGCTTAGGGGGGAAATGGAGGCGAAGAGAAACTGGGAGGCTGTGAGCCCTGACAGGGAGCTCTACTCTCTGGCTGGGTAGGGGCCGCCCAACACAGTGAAGTCAGTGCTCACAGCTTAGGGCCAGCAACGTGACACTCTGGACAACCGTGTCCTGAGCCCTTATGAGGAGGCAGCTCTGTTCCCAGAGATGTGATACCCTGAATCCAAAGTCTCTATCTCTTGAGAGGAGGCTGGAGAGAGGATTCTGGGCTAGCTCCTCTCTCCTGCATGAGACTAAGGGATGAGCTAGCTGGAAGGTAGAGGTACCCATCGCGTCCTTGATAATCCCTTAATTACCGAACTAATGCCCCCTGAAGATTTTATACCATAAACACTGCTTGCCAGTTTTCTCCAGGAAAAGATAAGATGGCTACAATTATTTTTGTGGGGTCTTTTTGTTTTGTTGTTTCACTTCTGAGGGCCTACTCCTGTTTGAGTGTGAGTTTTACCCATTTCAGGCAGAGGGGTCATTTTGGCTTACTTGAGAGGGAGCTGAATTATGTTAGGCAGAGAATTTTGTTGTAGTTGACCCTGTGCTTCACATTGTGGTGTTGGTTGGCCTTGGCTTAGCTCAGGGGTTGAGTGAAATAGATAACTGCAATGTTTCCTAGCCGCCCGGCAACTTTTCAACCCGTCTTTGCTCTATTTGGGCAATTCCAGCTTTATGAGTCCTGCTTTTATCAGGAAGAATCCAGAAAGTCAGTTCCCAAACTCCTGTGCAATTAGAGTGCAGGCATCTGAATCACAGTTACATCTGACGAGAAGTGAGAACTTTAAAGAAAAAGGCTCTTGGGTGAAACCCATTTTCCTGTCAAGGGGGGCGGCAGAGGTTTCTTTTAGAAGAAATGGGACAGAAATACTATCAGTGGAGTGGCAGTGCTGGTGGCCTTTCTCCTCGGTGGCGGTGGCGCGGCTACCAAGCAGCAGCTCCTCCCCCACCCCGGGGGGTCCGTAGCGTGGATTCAAATGCTGTTCTGTGAGGTTGGTTCTCCAGGCTAATTCTGTGAGCTAGCCAATTTCCTTTCCATAAGCTCCTTTCTGCTCACTTATCAGAATCAGCGTCTGTGGTTGGCAGCGGAGGGTCCTGAAGGACCCAGCAACCGACCGCTAACTCCATCACCCCTTCCTAGAGACACTCGGAGCCCTGACATGCTAGCCACAGCAGCTGCACCAGGAGACTCTCATCTCAAACCTCGGCCCTCCCCAATGTCTTTCCTGCCTATAAGATCCAGGCCTCCCCTACGTTCCTCTTGGACCTCTCCTCTCACATTGCCAAGCTAACAGCCACCTTGCAGGAAATGGATGGGTGAAGAGGTGGTATGTAAACCCCATTGGACCACTTGGCCTGGTTTCAAAGAGGCACAAGTCCTCACTCCTGGAGACAGGGGCCAAGGGCTCCTCTAGGATGGCTGCCTGCAAGGAAGCCACTCTGGGGGTTTCCATTCAGGTTCCAAATGCCTGGCCATCATTCTGTTCACAGAGCCTTTGAGGCCTTCTTGCTTAGATAATTCACCACTAGTCCATGATAGAATCCAAAGAAATGCCCAGTTAGCTAACTTCTGCTTGTCTCCAACCAGAAGTATTTACAGAATGTAAACTCCACAAGGACAGGGCTATGTTCACTCACAGAATAATCCTAGCGCCTAGAACCATTCTTGGCACATAGTGGGGTTCTCCCTAAATCACTGTTGAACAAATTGTGAATAAGTGATAGAAATTTTTTTATACTGCAAACTCTCTACCAGATAATGGGCCTAAAACATACTCTGGTAGGAATAGACAATACAGCTTTGGAAATTTGGTATGTCTTGAGAGTTTCACACACACAAAATATTTCTATCTGCCTACTCTAGATGCCTATAGCTATGGTAGGCTACCCAGTGTGAAACCATAGCAGAGAAGACTGATTTACCTCTGTGATATTTTTGGTACCATTCACTAATTAAAATTTTTTTTTTTAAAGATTTTATTTATTTATTTGAGAGAGAGAATGAGATAGAGAGAGAGAGCATGAGAGGGGAGAGGGTCAGAGGGAGAAGCAGGCCCCCCGCTGAGCAGGGAGCCCGATGCGGGACTCGATCCCGGGACTCCAGGACCATGACCTGAGCCGAAGGCAGTCGCTTAACCAACTGAGCCACCCAGGTACCCCACTAATTAAAATTTGTTGGCACTTGAAATACTTTTTTGAGGCAGCCTGCCAAACCCCCAAATCTCTACTATCTGAAAAGCACCTCATCTTTAAAGACAATGAAGGGGCAACGTGCATATTGACAACTTTAGTCAGCCTGGTCTTTAACAGTCAGCCTGGTCTTTGGCCAGCCTGGTCTTTAACACCTATATAAACTAAACATAAGCCTCCCAAGGATGCCACCCTCCTGTACATGGTTTTCAAGGGATTGTAGAGAGTCACAGATCAGAGAATTTTTAGTCTCTGGCTGATACCATGCTAAAATGTTTGCATGCATCATCACATTTCTCTTTCAAGGCCTTTGAAGGATGTAAGCCATATAATAATCTCCGGTTGGCAAATGAAGAAAGTGAAACATTAAATTATTTGCTAGTGGATGGTGATTCCAACCCAGTCCAGCTGACACCAGAGCCTACAGCACTAACCACTGAGTGTTCTGTATCTGATCCACCAGAGGGTTTCTGGGACTCCTCCAATGTCTGTATATGGAAGCAAACAGTCAAAGATGATTGTCATCCCCAAATATCTAGTTCCCCCTTTGAGTCTTACAGCACCTACTCGAGGCTCAATGGGAGGCACTATGAGAACTTACACAACCCAGTGACAGTCACTGTTTCTAGAACATTATTCTCTAGTCTTATACCCTGACAGGCCCCATCATGCCCCAAATGCAAACTTTTAAAACCTAGTATCTCTAGAAAATATTCTGTGCACTCATTCAATAGAATGCAAAGACTCACTCTTCTATCTTATCTTTTTGGTCAAATATTCTGTTCTCTTGTGTCACTCCAAGTGGATCCAGTTTTGCAGTTTCTTTGATGGAAAAGTTCTGGATTGCCAAGTGGTAAAGGTTTGACAGCAAAATCATTTGTTTTAATTCGCCAGAAGGAAAAACTTGGTCACCATTACATCAGCTATTTCAGACTTATCTTCTGTTTGCCAAAGCAAGTTTGCCTGAATAGTTTAAACACTGGTGAGAAGTGGAGCGGGGTGGGCAGTGAGATGGAATCTCGCCTAATTTCCAATCCTTCACCTCTTATCCATCAAAGGAAGAAAGCAATTTAGAGACTATTTTAAAGATAACAGACTCTCAGTCATAGAGCTCTGTCACAGTAAGCTGTGAATAAGTGATTTTTCAGATGCTTCAAAAATACTGTGTGTGGAAAAACCTTTTTTTTCCTTAAAAAAAATTTTTTTTATTATGATAGTAATGCTGTGGGAAATGGCAGTTAAAGTCATCAGGAAAAAGAAAAAGTAAAAAAATACCAAGTAAAATCTGAACTACCCTCTCCATTTCCTGAATCCATTCTCTAGAAATAATCAATATTAAGAATGTTCTAATTACTTGATTTTCCATGAATATGTAAGCACAGATGTATATATTTTATAGTATTTGTATATATGTGGAGAAGCTTTTTGTCGTTGTTCTAAGGCCTAGATGTAAGCTAGGCTTTGTTGAGGTTAAGTTAACTAATAGAGGCCCCTATTTGAAAGTCTCTTATCTATACCTCCTTTTTTCACAAGTATGACATTTATGGACATTTCTCTACTTGGGCAGAGCACTGAGAACCCAGAAATGAAGTGGATGTTGGCCTAAGCTGTTTCCGTACTAGAGCTCTTGGCCAGGTCTAATTGTGTTCTGTCCCGCTACCCAAAGTCAAACCTGAAAATACAAACCTGAATTTATAGCCAACACTGGGTAAATAAATAAATAAATAAAATACAACCCAGAAAACAAACAAACAAAAACCCCATGAAAACAATTTCCATTTCTGGGGTGCTTGGGTGGCTCAGTCGGTTAAGCGACCTTCTCTTTGGTTTCAGCTCAGTCCGTGATCTCAGGATCATGAGATCAAGCTCCGCATCAGGTTCAGTGCTTAGCTCGAGTCTGCTTGGGACTCTCTCTCCCTCTCCTTCTGTCCTTCTCCCCTGCGTGCACATGCTCTCTACCTCTCCCCCTTCTAAAATAAATAAATCTTTAAAAATATAAACAAAAAAACCCCCACAACAATTTCCACTTCTTTGCCAGAACAGGAAGTTATTGCTGAATAGAGGATATTAATGCTTAAGTTTAGTAGACAAGCGAAGAAAAAGTAACCCAGCACAACTGAGCCCATTTTTTGGCGGGGGGAGGCATTCACCTCCCATCCTCACAGGGAGGTTGTTGAGCCAAGCATATCAGTAAATGCCCAGCAATGGAAAATAGCCAAATGTTCCCAGGGAGGGGGCTTTCTCACTATCTTGGGCTCACCTAGGAAACCAGATCTTAATAAAGTCCCCGATTACTTTGCCCATGTCCACAACTTAGCCTTTTTCCTGGAACAGGAAAACAGCTGAGACTGTCAGGCAAGTCCTCCTTGCTCATATGATTCCTTTCTTTTGGTTTCTTGTCCACTTTTTTGAAACCCAGGACCAATTCCAGCCCTTCTTTACAAGGGTGGGGCCAACAATTTGGTTTCAGTTTGATTTATCCCAGTACCTAACCCAGTATGGAGTTCAAATAAGAATTTTATAAACACTTTCTGATGCCAACATACGTGTCTTGCAATCTAGACATCTCGACATAATGTTAAACAAACATTACCCACCACAAAAACCAATTGGATCCATTTGTGGTTACTTCAGCCCTGGGTAGTTCCTTCTTGCAAGGTTCTGGCCTGATACCCGTGGGAAGTAGCTTTTGACCCCAGTAGGCTGCTGGCTCAGTGAGTTAAAGCGGTCGCGGAATCATTTTCTGTTTTTCTCAGACCTGTAATATGAAGCTGGAAGGCCCAGCCCCTCCCTAGTGGGTGGCTCAACATTCCTCCTCTGGCACTAAACTTACTTATGACAGTTTCTGTTGAAATTCTTTGGGTTGGCCCGGGTCGGGGGGAGTAGATTCTCAACAAAACAATGCACCATCAAGATGTGATTCTCCTCATTCACTTAGAGATCCTGGAGGTATTTGGGAGTGGGCTTTTCGAATTCCATCCTACATGACCTTACCTCCCATGACCTCTTGGAAAAGTTTCCCACCCTCCATAATACTTCCAACTACCCTGAATATAAGACAGAGATGACACAGTGGTTGATTCTCCAGCATTCTCTAACCAAAGGTTCTATATGTTGCTCTTATATTACCCACAATCCTATCATGGCCAATAGTAGCAATAGCTAATGTTTATCAATCACTCGCTACATATACAAGGAATTGTTAAGCCTTTTACATGCCTAGTCTCATTTCGTTCCCATAACAACCCTGTGAGGTGGGTATCCCTGTTATTTCATTTTGCAGACAGGGAAGTGAAGGAGCAGTTGGACAGACAACTTGCTCAAGGGCATTCAGCTTATAAATGGCAGGACCACCACTAACTCTGGTCTGTCTGGCTCCAAAAGCCACGCTTTTGGTCATGACCCTAAACTGTCAAGTCAGAGTTGACGATAAGGAAAAGGAATCTCGGTCTTATAATTGGCACTAGGTATGTGACATGTCAGAATCAGATGCAAGTTCTTATTCATTTTAAGGTCCCTCTCTTGTGCTCATCTTCTCCCATGCCCAGGATGCTGATAAGTGCACGTCTCCAGATGGACAAGGTAAAAGAGTAAAGGAGTAGTTGAAAGATGCAGAGCAGGGGGAAGGGAGAGAGGACAGGCAAGGGTGGAAAGGATCCTCTTATGGACATAAAGAGAATGTCCTCTGAACTCTCTAGAAAGGTCAGATAGGGCCTGTCAGCTGGAGGAATGAAGATTTTAGTGTTTCCAATCGGACCGGTGTTTTGACCATGAGTTCCGGAGTATCCAGCCACCAGCCCCAGATACCTCAGGGGGTAGGGACAGCCAAAGTGGCCTGGTGGCCTCCACGGAGGGGGTGGTCGGTCCTACACTTGCTCGGCCTTTGCAGTCTCAAAGAGGTGTATGCTTTTTGAGAGTTGACCAGACTCCCCAGCCCTGTCTCCGCCCTTAACCATCCAAAAGAAACTCACAGATGCCTCTCCCACCCACACTACCTCAGTCACACATCGAAAGAGCGCACCAGTAGACAGCCTCAGCTTGCTGCCCGGAGGAGCTAAGGGCAGGGTGCCTGCCCCAGCAAGGTCTCAGCTTACCAAGACTTCTTTCCCTTTGCACCCCCCGCCCCCGAGTTCTGCAGGGCATTTTGAGTGGCTTTTACGTTTTGGCATAAATAATTAAAACTAGGTTAGCCTTGTCAGAAATAAACACTTGCAGCTGCGATATAATATAGCCTTGGGGGTGTGTGTGTGCGTTTGTGTTTCTTGCTGATACGTAAACCTTGCCCCATGTATGAGTCCACATTCCAGGGGTCACATTCCCATATCTGTTGGCGTAAACTGAAAGCACGGAACTGTCAGCTTCACTCCCTTCAACCGAGCAGCTCCCCGGACGCAGGGGCAAGCTGGCACTGCCAATATGCGGCCGTGGCTGCGAGCTGCGTGTCTAGGTTAATATTTGCTCATGTTTATATCTTGCCTGATAGGTGGATGGAATTTGCCAAATGATTGTGGTTCCCTGAAAAGTTAATCAATGTCTAAACGAACCAGTCACAGACCACCACAGAGGTGTAGTGAAGTTGAACTCTGAGTACCTGTTCCCAAGGGCCACGTCCCTGGGGTCAGAGCAACAAGAAAGCTGCAGCGAGCAGTGCATGTGACCTGAAGAGCCCAGGCCTATTGCTGCTGGGCTGTTGTACACTCTATGGAAAGCTCTAGAATCTGAACACAAGGGATGCACCTCCTGGGCATTATATGTGCCCTGTCCAACCAACAGGCCTAGCTACAGCCCTGCTTTCTTCAGGTCCCTTCATCATCCTGACCAGGGGACCTTTGTGCCCACTTCATCAGGCCTGTTCATCCTAGAGTTGTCAGCCAGAGGGGCACTTTTATCCCTGCAAACATATACTGAGCTTACATCAGGTGCAACACTTTGAGGACACTAAAGGGAAAAAGGTGACTGAGATCCCAGCCCTAAAGCAGCCGACAGTTGAGAGAAGGGAGACGAAAAAGGCAATTATAATCTGGAGTGTGACATGCTTCATGAGGGAGTCTGCCCCCTGAACACAGCCTGGGTGATCAGGGATGCCTCTTAGAGGAGAAAAACAAAATTTGAGCAGAACCCAGAGGGCAGATGTGTCCTCAAAGATGTCCACATCCTAATCACCAAAATCTGAATATTACCTCATATGGCCAAGGATACTTTGCAGGTGTGATTAAGTTAAGTGTCTTGAGATGAGAGGTTATCCTGGATTATCTGGGTGGCCCCAAGTGTAATCGCAAGTGTCTTTGTAAGAGGGAGACAAAGGGAGATCTGACTTTGGCCAAGGAGAAAGCAGGCTGACCACAGAGAGGAGCCTGGAGTGATGTGCTTTGAAGATGAGCTGGAGGCCGCCGTACTGGGATACAGGCAGCCCCTAGGAGCTGAAAAAAGCAAGGAAATGGATTCTCTCCTCCGAACCTCCGGAAGGAACCAGGCGAACCAATACTTTGACTTTAGCCCAGTGAAACAGACTTCAGAATTCTGGTTCACGGATGTGACGTCTTGACCTGAAGCACGTCTGCAGTCTGAACTCTCACCACCCCCTTCCCTCCGTGCCCTGATATCAACCCGGTCCTGCAGCTACAGTCGTAAGATGTGTCTTACCCAGCCTTTGCCATGCCGTGTCCTCTGCTTGGGCCACTTGCCGTCTCCAAACCCCACCCCCCTGTATCAGTTTCCCATTTGCTGCGGTAACAGATTTGCACATAGTGGCTCAAAACAAACCACATTCATTCTCTTAAACGTCTACAGACCAGACGCAGAGAGGCTAGAGGCAACACTCAATCCTGGCTCTGTGGCCTGGTAGTAGCTCCCATTGGGTTTCCAAGCTCTCCTCCAGATCAACTTCATTTCATTCAATTAAATACTGAATCATTCCTGACTTGTACAGGAGTATGCAAGTTTGCTCTTTATGGGAATTGCCTACAAATAACACTGTGCCAGGCTTGAGTTTTTGAGATATAAAATTAGGCGATGCAGGTGGATTGTTCCAACTAGATCTTATGTAACCATGATGAGGAACGTAAATAGCTTGTGAATGGCAGCTGGGCCTGGAACTGGTGGGCTAGAATTGGGGCCCGTGTTTCTGTCTTTAGTGGATTATATCCGCTGCTGCTGACGATTTCTGGTCTCTGGACCCTTCATCAGGTGCCAGTGTCTGCAGAAAATCGAGATTTTCTTACACTCTCCGAGGTGCCCCTAGATAGAACTTGATACAAACCTAAATCCCTGCAGGAGCCAGTCCAAACATAAGCAGAGAATGGTGATGCCTGTTCTGCCTAAAAGCATTTGAATTCAGATGATTAAAAAATACATCCCAGGCAGCCTGCGCTCAACTTTGTGACCCTAATGAAACTAAGCCCCTTTCACAATCAGCCTTTTCTCACAGATTCGTCAGGGCCCCTTTTATAAAGGGAACCCACTGCTGTGGCTTTTTAAAAATTTGATTTTTAGTGTGGGGAGAGCTAGAGAGGGACCGTCTGAGTAGAGTGGGTGCCAGAATCTTCCTGATGTACAGGCTTGAGCAATTGAGAATAGCAGCTCTCTCACTCCTTACCACCCCAGCTGCAGCAGCCAAGGGGTAGCTAAACTTTAAAGGACATTGTTAATAATAAACTCAACCACTTAGGAGAAGTCACTGGTTCAGAATATGAACTCAAGGCTGGGGTATGTGGCCAAGGAGAAAAGCATTTGAGAGGACAGGCTTTTCCTCTTAGGCAGTGGGAATGTTGTGGCCCTTCAAATGTAAATAAAAGCCAAAAGGGCTTCCTAACACAATGTCCTTATTTAAGAAGAGGTCTGGGAGTTCTCTCAGCCTAACGAATAAAACCTGGGATAAGCATTTTTAGGCAGGCTCATTTCATTGAAGGAATCAGGGGAGTGAGTGGTGAGGGAAGATGACAACTGAGTAAATTAGCAAAGAACAAGAGGTCTGGAGCTGTAATTTCTGACTTCTGTTTACAGTTTTGAGATCTTCAGTCTGCATATCTGTAAAATGGTGCTACTTAACTTTGCCCCCAACTCTGTGCACCAAAAAGTTTACTGAAATGAGAAGTGAAATAATATCACTAAAACCCAGCAAAGCTGGCTTATTTATTATTGGCCATGAAAGAGGCATTCCTCCAGGATCTTTATGTATGAATTTATCTAAACTTTATTAAACTTCACAGCAAACCTGGGAGACACTTTGGGATTATCCCCATTTTTAAAGGTGAGTAAGCTGAGGCATTGTGAAGACAAGTATTTTGCACAAAGTCACAGGAGACAGAGCAGGAATTTGAACCCAAGAAGCAGAGTCCAAGATCTTAACTACTATTGTATTTTACAGCCTTGATAGAAAAAGAAAATCCAAATGACTGCCCAGCAACTGTCACTAAAAAGTGATCAAAGTAGTAGAGATAGAGTCTGTGTTCCAAAAAAAGGTGTAATAGTTTGTATTAGACCAAGCCTACACAGATGTCACACAGATGACAGTGATAAACCCTGGACAAAGCATACGAAACAACCATGTAAAGCCACTAGAGCATGACCGTAATTAAGCAGAACCTGGAGGGGAGTTGACACATGGAAGAAGAACATGACTATGGGTGAGCTTCCCTTTAAAATTTTTATTTTTATGGGTTTTTACCTAGCGGTAGATCTCAGTCAGCTCTGCAAGTTAACTATAATTTGGAAACAAACTGGAAATCTTACCGGCTTGAGGAATCAGATAACTGAATGTGGGGCTGTCAAAGCAGCTATAAAGTGACGGGGGGAAGCCTGGAAAGGATAGAGCCAAAGAGATGGAACCCCAAATTCTGTATATAAACTCTGCTCAAATCTCTGGCTAACTTCTGAGCTACACGTATAGGGCAAACTCCAAGCACTTAAGCGAAGCTAAAAGGACCAAACAAAAAATGCAGCTTCTGTTCAATGGAGGGGAGATAGAGTTTGAAGTTTGAGTTCAACCAAGTTAGTTGCCTATTAAAACAACAACGATAATAAAAATCAACACCGGGCGCCTGGGTGGCTCAGTCAGTTAAGCAACTGCCTTCGGCTCAGGTCATGATCCTGGAGTCCCGGGATCGAGTCCCACATCGGGCTCCCTGCTCGGCGGGGAGTCTGCTTCTCCCTCTGACCCTCCTCCCTCTCATGCTCTCTGTCTCTCATTCTCTCTGTCTCAAATAAATGAATAAAATTAAAAAAAAAAAAATCAACACCTTACTGAAGAATGTACCAGAAACTAGAGTCTGTACAATGTATCATTCACAGTGACCAAATTCAAAATCATTAGCCGTTTCAAGAAGAGAGAGAATGTAACCCATCACTCAAGAGAAAAGGCAATCAAAGGAGACACACTGAGATGATCCAGATATTGGAACTGGCAGACAAGGTCTTTAAAGCAGCTATTATAATTATGGTCAAGAATGTAAAGAAAGGGGCGCCTGGGTGGCTCAGTCAGTTAAGCGGCTGCCTTCGGCTCGGGTCATGATCCCAGGGTCCCGGGATCGAGCCCCGCGTCGGGCTCCCTGCTCGGCGGGAAGTCTGCTTCTCCCTCTCCCACTCCCCCTGCTTGTGTTCCCTCTCTCGCTGTGTCTCTCTCTGTCAAATAAATAAAATCTTAAAAAAAAAAAAAAAAGAATGTAAAGAAAAGTAAGTTCACAACCAATGGAAAGATATGAAATCCTAGCAGAAACATAGAAACAATTAAAAAAATAAACAACTTGAAATTCTGGGACTTCAAAATACAGTATTACATAAAAATTCATTGAATAGGCTCAACAGAAGATTGGAGACGACAGAAGAAAGTGTCAGTGAACTCAATGATACATCAATAGGAATTAAACAATCTGAAGAACAGAGAGAAATGAGGTTAAAAAAATGAGGTGATCAGAGACCTGTGGGACAGAATTAAGAGGTCTATCATATGTTACTGGAGTTCTAGAAGGAGAGGAGAAAATGAGGCATGAAAAAAATGTTTGAAGAAATAATTGACAAAACTAATTCAAATTTGATGAAAGACACAATATAATAGATGCAAAAATATAAGCAAACCGCAAGCAGGATAAATACAAGGAAAACCAAATGCAGGAATGTACTCCATCTTAGCTGACAACTGAACATAAAGAGAAAATCAGCTAGAGAAAAATGGCACATTACATACAGGGCAGCTAACAATATAAATGACAGCTGATTCATTCATGAAGGATAGAAACAGTGGAGATCAGAAATCAGTTGATCCTCTCTAAAGGGCTGGAATGAAGAAAAAAAAAAAACAACCAGAAAACAAAAAAAACCCTGTCGACCCAGAATTCTGTATTCAGAAAAATCCACTACAAGAAATGAAGGTGAGGGGCGCCTGGGTGGCTCAGTCGTTAAGCATCTGCCTTCAGCTCAGGTCATGATCCCAGGGTCCTGGGATCGAGCCCCGCATCGGGCTCCCTCCTCCGTGGGAAGCCTGCTTCTCCCTCTCCCACTCCCCCTGCTTGTGTTCCCTCTCTCGCTGCGTCTCTCTCTGTCAAATAAATAAATAAAATCTTTAAAAAAAAAAAAAAAAGAAATGAAGGTGAAATAAAGACACTTTCATATAAATAAGAACTAAGAGACTTAGTCATTCGCAGACCTAAACTACAAGAAATGATAAAGTTCTTTCATGCTAAAGGGAAATGGTATCAGACAGAAACTCAACTCATCAGCAAGGAATGAAGGATGCTATAAATCCTAAGTATGTGGATACAGGTAAGAGTCTATTTTTCTCTTAATAGCTTTAAAATACATAGGAGTACTTAGAGCAAAATGTGTAACAGTATGTTGTAAAGTGTATAACGTATGTAGATGTAATACATAAGACAACTGGAGCATACAGATGAAGGCAGTGAATAAAACTATATGGTTGCAAAATTCTTACATTTTTGTGAAGTGGTACAATATTGACTCTAAGTAAATTGTAGTAAGTTA